TTGTAATCTCCATCTGAAATGGCCCTGGTGTGCACTTGGAAATAAGCCCTCAAATAAACACGTGTCAGGATGACTTAAGAGAGCTGGCATGTACAGTGTGCTGTGAATTTTTGTTTGTTTGTTTGAAGGGAGTGTTCATATAATTTACTTTTTAATTCATAGATACTTACTCACCAAAGAGAATGAAATTCCTTTTTTTTGAGGGAATTTAAACTTCAAAGAATCACAGAATAGTTTGAGTTGGAAAGGGTCTTGAAAACCATATAATCCAACCCCCATGCAGTGAAATGGGGTATTTTCTACTAGATCAGGTTGTTCAGAGCCCCATCTAACCTGGCCTTGAGCACTTCCAGGGATGGGGTATCCACAGCTTTTCTGGGCAACCTCTTGCAGTGCCTCACCACCCTCGCTGTAAAAAACTTCTTCCTTACATCCAATCTAAATTGACCCCCTTTTAGTTTAAAAAACATTACCCCTTTGTCCTATTTTTTATTTGTATTTTTAATTACCTTTATCTGCAAAGAAGATAGGTCAGGCAAGCTTGGTGGCAAAAATCACTGGTGGCACTTGTAGCACATATCAAGGAGGAGCTAGGTCTCCTGTATCCTTTCAGATACAGGTCTGAAAGGCCTGTACTCATGCCTTGCTAATTTTGCATGGTTTAAACGTTTTCCTGCTTCACTGGGGCTTTTCACTGGACCAGCTCTACGAACATGATAAAACTTTTTCCTTGGAAATGTCATGGCTTTTAGTCTCTGTTTTTTCTGTCATTTCCCCCCATTAGAGAAATGCAATTGAACGGTTTTGTGGAGAGGTGAGACGCTTGTGCCACGCAGAGAGAAGGAAGGACTTTGTGTCTGAAGCCTATCTGATCACACTGGGCAAATTCATCAACATGTTTGCGGTGTTGGATGAGTTGAAAAACATGAAGTGCAGTGTGAAGAACGACCACTCAGCCTACAAGCGGTAAGTGGCAAAGGGCAGCAGGACCCGAGCCTTCTCTGCCAGGAATCAGGCCTCCCACGAGATGGCAGCAGCTGCTTTTTTTCTGACAGCTTTTTCTTCAAAAATAGTCTCTTCACACATGGGACAAGCTACCTTGAAACTAGGGATGGCTTGACTGCAGTTAGGCAGTTTTCTTTGTGCTGTTCTTCCAGCAGCAAAAGGATTTTCTGCCTTTAATGCCAAGCTGCCAATACTTACATCTTGGTGTATGCTAAATGTAATGCATATACTTTGTTCAGTAAAGTTTCTGTTTTGAAGTTTGAGAGGCAGCTGGCATTCTGGTCACTTGTGCTACTCCTGATCTATTCTACTCTTGGCACGCATTTTGGACATTTGTAGCTGAGAGTTGTTATACTTGCTACAGAGATGTTTCAGCTTTGCTGTTCAAAATCATTGTCAGGCATAGCAGGGAAGGGAAAGGGTGAGATACCTGTGGCCAGATTTTGTACTAGATCTACCAGATGGTGTCAGGTATCTTCTGTTGAACACAGCAGTCAGAGCAGCAGGGCAAGATGGCCTTCATGCCAGCTCTAGCATCTGTGGTCTTTCATGCAGAAAACTATTCAGTCAATAACTAGCCAAATTTACCTGTGTTGCCCCTACTTACGTGAGATTTAGTTTCTCCCTCCACCTGTTGTAGTTGTTGTTGTGCATGGAGACCTCTTAAACTTACTTGGCTTGCTTTTCTTTTTCTTTGGAGGTGTGTTTCTAGAGGCCAAATGCTTGTTTTCTGGAAGACTGGCTTTTTCTGGGTTGTTGAGTGGCTTGGATCTATAGAGCCACAGCTGCACACAGTTGGAGCATATAGCCAATTTTTTTTTCATTTGTATTTTATTGGACCTTCTAAGTAGGGGTGTAGTGAGGAATTCAGGATAGTAAACCAGTTTATTTTGGATAAATTAAGTCCCTCTCTCTCTTCTAGTGAACTTTTCACCTTTTTTTTGAGGAGATAGGTTTACTTACAAACAGTCCTGGCCAAGAGAAATACAGTTTTTCTTCTATTTTTAAAGAGCTGCTCAGTTCCTGCGGAAAATGGCAGATCCTCAGTCCATTCAAGAGTCTCAGAACCTTTCCATGTTCCTTGCCAACCACAACAAGATAACACAAGTAAGCTTGAATTGTCTTCTCCCAAGTTACCTAATGCTTTGCAAAAGTATTGAATTGTCTTCTCCCAAGTTACCTAATGCTTTGCAAAAGTACTAAAATAAAGTTCTTCCAGTTTGGTAGTAACTTTTTTCCCAGTCAGTGCAACTACTTAACTCATATCGTTTTGTTTTTTTTCTCCAGTCTTTGCAGCAGCAGTTGGAGGTGATCGTTGGCTATGAAGAGCTGCTTGCAGATATTGTGAACTTGTGTGTGGACTACTATGAAAACAAAATGTATCTAACACCCAGTGAGAAACATGCTTTTAATCCATTTTTGTTTTTCATAAATTGAGGTTGACCTATTTGAACTGCATTCAATTCTGTGGAATTGTGTTTCTATGAAGTATGATGACAGCAGAAAGGAATTACTGCATTTTATTTTAGATATGTGGCAAGATAATTTAAAAAGCTTTTGGAAGTAAGGTTGTGTATCAAATATTTCCGAGAACAAGTATCTTGAAATTAGGATTAATAAGTCAGTTTAGTTAGCTGGAGTATGTACTTGTAATAAGAGGGTGCTGGGAAGTATGAAATGTGGCTGATATCAGCTGCACAGCTTGCAGTGGTAGAAAAGATAAAGAGTAAGAGCTAAAAATT